ACACACACACACACACACACACACACACACACACACACACACACACAGAGGCAATGAACTGCTGAAGAGTGGATCTCCAGCAGATGGTGAAGTAGGGGAAAGACGAGATGTGGAACTATGTGAATTGTCATCTTTTCATCAGTAGCCGCTCAACAAATGATTCTCTACTTCTGCCTACTCTCAGAAATTGGTTGTAATCAAGTAGAAAAAAAGTTTAATGTTGTTGACGCTTTTTTCTAGACTATTAAGACAACAACAAAAACCAAAACCAAAAAACAACTGGACTTGTTTTGTTTCACCCCAAACGATTTCGACTATCAAGGGCACTTAGACATGAATGCTGCCAAGTTTAGACTTCTAAGCTTGCTTTGTGCTTATGTTCCTCTCCTTCTGTAGCAACCCCACTCCAAACTCCTTAAATAATGGGAAATTTTATTTAATGATAGAAACAGTATCTATTGGCCATGATACCTTTTAAAATCTGTGTTGAAAAGTTAAGGTTCAATAAAAATTGTTGAATACTAAACTGGTCAATTTTGGTACAATTTACTGCAGTATGTAAAACCCCAATATATATTTTAGCATTTTGAAGTTGTTAGTTTGGGCTGAACACTGGTGGTCCAGCACTCAGGAGGCAGAGGCAGGAAGATTTCTGTGAGTTTGAGGCCAGTGTGGCCAACAGACCAAGTTCCAGAACAGCCGGTGCTACACAGAGAAGCCCTGTCTTGAAACATTAAAAACAAAAGTTTGGTTACATATAAGGTACTGGAAATATTTCCTAGGTAGATATCTGCTTTTGCTTACAAGAACAGGAGAATTGAAGCAAAATATATTGTGTCCAATATATTTGGGAGATTGGATGTTTTCAGTTCCCAAGGGGTTATCAAGATGTAAGGGAGTAAGTATTCAGTCTTACCCTTCAAAAGATTGACACATGCATACCTACACACACCCACATTCCTCTATACCCGCGGAAGGTAATGAGTTGGTACTAGTTGCTCTCAGAATATCTTGAGGTTTTACTAAAGTTTTTGTGAATGGATTATTTGGGATTAGATCATCTTTTATCATGTCTATCTCCTACCACTTATGAACATATGCGTCTAAGCCAGCTCTCAGCTGCTTCTTGTCTCATGGTTTATGCTTTTATGGCTTTATGGAGAAAGGCTTTCTACACATCTAGGAAGAGTTGTGATAACTGCTTCACAGTTTCAGATTTTATATTTGGTTTTTAGTTTATTTGCAGGTTGCATTGCTATGAGATGTACAGGGACCCAATTTTACATTTTTGTACATCTTAAGTCTGATTTCCCAGTATAATTTTGTTGCTTCCAAATCAGATAATATGCAGATGCATCATTTGTCTTTGAAATAACTCTTCTGTTACATTAATTGATGTATTAAATTATTTTTGCCCAATCACATACTTTTTAAAATGACAGTCTTGAAAATTAGTGTTAATATATGTTCAATATCTGTCTGAGTCCTTTGTTTTTACTCCATGTTCCAAAGTTAACTTAGTTGCACAGACATTAAAAAAAAAAAAAGAATTGATTCTTTAAGAAATCTAATGAAGAACTTTATTGGATAGCATTGATCTTATGTATTAACTTGAAGAAATGGCAACTTCATATTGTTTTATAAAAGAAACCTTGCTTTGTTCTTTATGACTTTACTATGTTGCCACTTAATTAAGATGAATTTCCACACACTAGGTACATCCATGTAACCGTTACCTGAGAAAGAGAAAATCACAAGTATTCTAGAAGATTCATCTTACATACTTTCAACTGTTATCTATTTCCTTCCCCAACTTAACCAATATTTCATGACTTTTGTTCACTCATAAATGTTTTGTAAATAGAAAATTATAGTATGTATAATTTTAGTTGGTGTACATATATTGTAATGTAATCAATACTATTCCATACAATTTATTTTCAGTGTATAATAGTTTTTCTCTCTCTTCCTTTTTTCTTTCTTTCATTTTTTCTTTATTACTTTCTTTTTTTCTTCCTTCCTTCCTTTTCCTTTCTTCTTCCCTCCTTTCCTTTCTTCCTTCCTCTTTTCCTTCTCTGTCCCTTCCTTCCTACCTTCTTTCCTTCCTTCCTGCTTTCCTTTCTTCCTTCCTTCTATCTATCTGTCTCAGTACTATGGACTGAAATTAAGGCCTGTGCATGCTAGCAACCACTAAGCAGTAGCCCTGTCTCTTCAGTCTGTATTTTGGTACTAAGCTCCATAGGCTGGCTTTGGACTTACTCTGTAGCCCAGGCATGTCTTCAGTTCTCAGCCCTCCTGCTTTAGCCCGCTGAGAGCCTGGGTTTATAACTCAGACTACCCGTTCACTCCAGTAATCTAGTATTGGAGGAGCATACTAAAATTTACTTAACTGTTCTAATGCTGATGGGCATTTGGATTATTTCTAGCTTAAAGCCACTTGTTAGTGTTTTCTTGTAAAATTCTTACACATCCAACGTTCACAAGAATATAAAAATAAGCAAAATTCCTGTGTAGAATGGCCCTTGTATCACGTTTGGTGAGTAGTGAAAAAAAGTCCCCTGAGCGTTTCTTCAGTCTGCATTTCCATCAGAAGTCTCTGAGAGTTCCTGCTAACACACCTGATGACATTTTCTGTCATTTGTCATCTTGATTTTAGTCTTTCTGGTAGGAACACTGTGGGGAGCGCTGGTTTTCGTTCATGTCTGCTGATTGTCTAATGAGATCGAGGACATTTTCTTTTCTGTTCTGTAGTGTTTGAAGATTCTCTTTAAAACATGGTTCCAAGGTCTGGCTCATTTATATTAGGTGTTATAAACTTTTATTAATGACTTGATTGTGTGTGTGTGTGTACACGATCATGTTTGCTGTTGTGAATATATTCTCCCACTGCTTAGCTTAATATTTCTCTTTTTTAAGAGAAATACTTAATACTTCCCACCTTTTGTAAGGGGAAGTTTTCAATTTTACTGTTAGAGTGATCAGAATACAATTGCATTTCTATTATGTGTGGCTAAGGAAATATTTCTTTGTTATGAATTATGAAAATATTATATGTTAGCCTCTAGAAATTCAATTATTTACTCTTTTGTTCATGTCTGTTCTCTGCCTGAAAGGGACAGTTTTGTATATGCATTGAGATAAGGGCCAAGATCTATGCTTCTTCTAGAGATCTAATTAGCATAAAGACCATGAACAAAAAAAAAAAAAAAAGAAAGAAAAAGAAGAATAAAAAGAGAGTATCTTACCATTAGCCAAGAATTCTCTATGTGCACCAACCTGGTCTTGAACTCACAGAGATCCTCCAGCCTCTGGCTTCCAGCTACTAGGATTAGAGGAGTCCCACACCACACCTGGCTAGAAAACTCTTTTTGCTGTTCATGAATACTGTGCATTAGACCAGAGTCTCTTGCAGTGGCTTCTCTGCTTCTTCACTGTCTTCAGGCATACGCGTCTGCAGCATTTCAGAACATTTGGCTTATGAGAATAAGCGGCAGGGCTGCGTTTCTCAAACTTGATTGCCCGTTTGAAACATCTGACATGTTTTTGAGATTATCAGTGTCTGGATGTGTCTTTACAAGTAAAGATTTAATTACGTGAGAGGTGAGGTGTCACTGGCGGGTCCCTAGACATCTCCCTGATGACTGTAAAGAGCAGGCACGTTTGAAAGCGACTGATGTGGAAGAAACCTTTCCAATGTGTTTCTATTCTTCAAGTGAGGCTCTTTGAATTTTTCATATACATTTTAGAATTAACTTGTCCATCGCCACACACGTCCTCTCTGAATTCTGATCAGCAGGGTACAATTTAGTGAACAGCCACCTCACCGTAAATTAAGTTTTCCAATCTCGGAATTGGATATGCCTCTCAAGTCTCTTTTCTTCTTAGTCAGCAGTGTTGGTGATTTTGTTCTTGCTGTGGTTGATATCTTCATTGTTTTCACATCAATTCTGACTGTTTTTTCATACCATTATATTAATAAATGGTGCCTTAAGCCACTCTGGTGGCTTAGGCCTATAATCCCAGTACTAGGGAGACAGAGGCTAAAGGTAGAGGCTATCCTGCGATAGTTTCAGGCCAGCCTAAAATTCAGAGTGGGACCCTATCTCAAAAATCAAAAAACAAAAACAAACAAACAAAAAGCCAAGCCACCCCCCCAAAGTATAAAAACTAGTAATTCTTGCACATTTTCATTATTGTTTGTTTTATTTGCTGAATTTTAAGGAAGTATATCTCTAACATAGGCTTTTTAGATTATTGTTAATATTTTAGACACATCAAATTTTGTGAGATCTAGTTTCTCCTTTCTGGGACTATATTTTCTTCTTTCTCTTGGAACACTGGTTAGCGCTTCTTGCATAAAGTCCAACAGGGTTAGCAGTAAAGGTCACCCTGTCACATTTACAGCCACAGGAAGCGTCCGTAACTCACTATTAGGACTGTTTATTTTAGATGACAGGATCTTCTGCTTCCTTTTTATTAATGGTTTTAAAAAATAAAATCTTGAGTATGTTTTATTAAATATTCCCCCTGTTACTTTTATGACTGTGTAAGTTTATTTTTCTACATTGATGTTTTTTGAATTTCAAGCAAGGCTTTACGTGTGCAGCAGCATCAGGTTTGTTAAGTATCGCTGAACTGTTTTTTTTTTTTATATTTAAAGCAATTTCATGTCTCTTGTAGGAAATATTATTAGCTTAAAATTTTAATTGCTGGTATAGTTATTGCCAGGATGCATGTCAGGTTGGATTGA